AAAACTGCAACTACATTAGCCAGCATCTGACAATTATGCTCATACTCATTCAGAATCTAGAGGCAGGAGGCAAAAAATAATTGATGATATTGGGCATCAGGTGAGGCCAAATTGGGAATATCTAACAATATGTATAACTCATTGTAGGAGATAAGCAATACTATCCAGAAGGTGGCTATTTCAAGCACATACAACCTCCACAATTTAAGAAATGAATAAGGCTTGTTTTGCCATACATACTATGAATATACAAAAACTGTATTTTATAACATTTTATGCAATGTTTCAATTTTTGAAGAAAAATAATAATATATAATTAGCTCTTTCAAAGAGGTCTAAATTACTGTTAACAGTAATGAAGAAAAGCAGTGAAATTGGGCATTTTATTACTGTATATTTAGTGAAACTTTTACACATTAAATGTAGATACTCACTGAACTTCTACACACTGAATTTGGAATATGGTAGTTGATATTGAGTATTCAATAACAGACTGGGCTATGAAACAGTGTTACGAGACTTAGACCACTTACAAATTTTCTTCAAATCAAAACATTCATGAATTATTTTAAATTGGTATTTTCAGATTCACTGCCTTTACAGGAAGAAATTTAACACTTTAGCTTGTATAGATGAATAATTGTTAGATTCAAAATTACTAGAACTTGAATTTTGCTTTCACAGACTTCTTGCTTTAGTTGGTGACAATGTAAGGCACCATGAACTTCAATACTTTTAAGACAATTTTTAAAAATTGGTAGGAAATCAGCATTATATGCTGAACTTCCTACAATTTAGGTGTACCGATGGAGAGAGATTTAATAAAGGACCAAAAATCTATGGAATAATTCTTTCTGAATTTTAAGTGTTAAATAATTGTTATATAATATTTAGGTTATGAACTATGAAAAAACTCTATGCTACGTGCTAGTGGAAAGGTAAGTGTACTAGATGATAAGCACAACATTATTGTCTAAAACTAATTTTTAATATCTTAGTAAAATTTATTTCAAAAATATTTGTTGAAATATTTGTTAGTTAATTGTTTGAGCTCTTTTGAATAATTCTATTAGAACAATAATTATTATAACAATACAAATTTATGTTCAGGTTTTCATATAAAAGTCAGATAGGGGAATGAATTAGGAATGAAAAAAAAAATTAATTTTATATAAATAAATGAATAATGAATTCATACCTGCTCTAAATAGTCACAGATGTCATATCCTTCTTGCAAGCGAAAACTTGGTACTGACACTAGAACTTTTGTTTTGGTCATGTTTGTTAGGAGTTCAATGAAATCAATTTCATGAAGGTGTCCTTCAAAGGTACTTAGTCCATCCACCGTGAATGGAAGTAACATGACAAATCGTAAGTTGGGATTCTGCTGAAGGAAATATGTCTTTAAAAATGGTTTAAGGGAATGAAATTTAGAAGCAAAGCATAAGTATAATTTCAAAATGTTTTTAACCAATATTTTTAAAGTCCAGTCATTTTCAAACTTTTTGGTACTTCTGCTGGTACAAGATTAAATGCAAACCGAAATTAAAAAAAAAGAGTTCAAAAAAGTCCAGATATGTGAGTGTCCCCGCTTGTTTTAGGTTGCACTTGCCTATGTACTGTATACAATATACTAAAGAAAATTGCAGTTTTGTCCAACTTCAAAATCAGGAATTTTGCAAAACTGTAAAAATATTATTACTACAATAGTTTGGAAATTACTCTTCATGGGTGCCTCAGAGTTATGACAAAAAATTTAGAATTCTGTATATTATGTTATAAAATTATCAGAAGTTGCACATACAATCTGCAACACATGCTACCAGAGTGCATTAAACAAAAATAGTATGTCCTTGGCCCTTTGAACTCAGGTTTTTTGCCCCTTGTATCCAGAGTTATGTTTCTTAGCTAAGAATCAACAAAAGGAGTGATTGTTGAAGCTTTTACACATCTTGGTACCTCTCAATCTTTAGCCCAGGTTATCAGAAACTTACAAAATCCTTAACTCTACAATTTTAAACAGAAAGGTATTTTCTAATTAAAGTAATTATTTACAAAGAATCAAATACTTCCAAAGGGTCCCACTACTTTTATTCTATTTAAGACTTAGTCAACCCTCATAACTTCCCTTGTAATATATCATGAGATATAAAATTTGGAATCTTCCCACCTATCTCCAATATTTACTAATTTGCAAACAGCCCTTTAGGTAAAGTATACTTATTTATGTAACAGGTCCTAAATTCCAAGTGATTAGGGTTGCGGCCAGAAAGTTAACTGCGAGGCAGAGTGATAGTGGAGCCAATGGGGACAAAGGAACAAAATGGGAAAAGTGGGACAAGGTGGATGACACGACAAAATGTGCCAAAGGGCAAATGGACAAGGGAACAAAAGGGACAAAAATTTCAGAATCAATTTCCTCCAATAGTCACAAAGATAATGTCACAGCTTCAAATGGCATTTCATTCAGTGGAATGTTAAAAAATTGTGACTTTAATATATCTATACCAAAACATCTGTAAAAATAAATTTTGTTAACATTCTCAAAACTTCTGTTTTGTGGCAATGAAATACATTCGTCCAAAGATTTATGAGCATTGGTAAAATCTAAACATGATAGTCCGCTAAAATATTTTTAACAGACTCTCAAGCATTTTAACGGCTATTGCTATAGACACATACTTAATAGGTGGTTTACATGGTTGGTGGCTAAGAACCTAAGTGTGTGTTTACAAACATAAATAATAATAAATTTTGAGGTTAACTTTTTTATGTAACCTTAAAGAGATGAAATTTTAGGAAGTGAAGGTCTATAAAGGATGATTTTCCATCTTATAGTAAGGCTGGCATTCTTGTAGAACGTGCAATTCAAGAGGACAATTACCTTATAGGGTATTTCCACAGCTTG